TCTGCAGCCCGTCCCGGGCACAACTGAGGATCCAGCAGAGCGTCTTCAACAACGCCGAGCACGCCCTGCTGGGTCTGGAGCCGTACTCCCACGTGTGGTAGGACACGCACACACACATGCACACAGGCACACGCACGCACACACACACGCACGCACACACACAGAGGAATGTTCTGTAAGCAGACAAGAACGACTTTCCATCTTCTTCGGTTGCTTCTCTTGTTCTGCTCCGTGCTTCTTGTCCCTGCCGGCTTCCTGTAGATTCTGCTTCTTATGGTTGAACTGGCCCACAGATACTCAAACATTTAAATATAAAACTGTCAGAACTCCTTTCAACCTGATAAAACCAAAGAAACATCCTTTTCTGTGAAACTGCAAGGTGAAGGCTGAGTGTTGCACGAGTTCTCTGAAATTGGCTAAAGAAGCTAAAATTGTTTCCTAAAGTTAAAATTAGCAAAACAAATGTTACAGTGTCCTGACGCTGCTCAATAATCCAGGTGGAAAAATCCAAGAAAGTTAAGTCGGGTCCTCTGGACAGATTCTTCAAGTTGAAACGTTTCGTCTTTTATCCAAAGGACTTCTTCAGTCTGAGGCGCTGCAACAAACTCAGTCTTATGAACATCACCTTCTCATGGTGGATCAACCAGGTGGATGGTGCTCAGCTGGTTTCTGGAGAAACGTTTCAACAAAAAGAATCTGTCCAGAGGACCTGACTGAACCTTGTCACTTCAGAAGAGTCGTCAGCTTCAGTTTCAGATGTGTTTTACACGTAAGTGATGATTATCGTGAGTACACGAACGTCTGCTCGCACCAGCAGCTCTCGTGAGATGAACTTTGCGTCGGTCTTCTCCTCACACACATTTAAAGGGCAGCTCTGATCCGTGAACCGGCACACGCACGGTGAATTCTTGGGTCATATCGAGGCAGGTGAATGTAGAGCTAATGTAGGCAGATCCTCAGCACACAGTCCGAAGCACTGAAATACAACGTACAAAACTACGGAGCGTGATTGTCACAAATAAACTGGACCTTGTGACCTGATGCTGGTGTCGCAGTTAAAGCTGTTCACTCACTTCCTGTTGCGTACAGACCAAACGTGCACCGACAGCAACTTTGTCTTTTCATGCTGATGTTATCATTTTTAAATTTAGTCGACTCGTTTTGCTTTTATTTTCAACATTTGTACAGGATTATTTTCCTTTTTCACAAAAATGGACGCCTGAGCTCCAAAGCCAAAGTGAAGCCCCCCAGACTGGACGGTCAGAGGGTTGGTGTGTACTCGACCCGCAGCCCACACAGACCCAACGCTCTGGGCCTGACTCTGGCGCAGCTGGATAAAATATCAGGTGAGTGTCATGACAGGTGTAAAACGTGTCGGTTAGAACGAGCGTGTTCTGTGTTTAATGTTGAACCAAGGACTGAAACCCAGATGAAGTCATTTTATTTCTTAATTTAATGGTTCTTTCTTTGTATTCTGAACTTGGTGAACTCGTTCTAGATGAGCTCATTTATAGACTCGCTGTGCTCACCAACTTACTGTCAGGTTAAATAAAATATAAATGTCACAGTTTTAAACTAATGTTCAACATAATATTCAAGGTTTTGACTGAGAGTAACAGTTTACTGTTGTTAATGTCACTGTAGGTTTGTCAGTAGGCTGCTCATCCAAACGATGCTGTGTTTAGTTCTTCGTTTCTTACACTGAAGAAAAATGCACATTTTTATTTTTGCTCCCGTTGTTCATGAGCCGAGCTCAAAGATCGAAGAACTTTTCCACTAAAGTCCTTTTCTCTCAAACATTGTTCACTAATGTGTGTCGGTCTGTCGGTGAGCTCTTCTCCTTCGCAGAGATCATCCATCCTCCTCGCATGTGGCAGATCAAGGTGCTGATTAGACGGTGTGATTATTACCGTAGTTTTCGGACTATAAGGCGCCGCAGATATCAGTCAAACTTTATTCAACTCATTCACAATAACAATGTTCAGCGGTAAAATCTGTTCGAGGTCAGTAAGTACAACCGGAATTAATACGTAAGGCTCACTGTTGATTTTAAGAACATTCAAGGATTTTAATGCATCGTATAGTCTGAAAACTACGGTAAACAGGTGTGCTTCAGGCTGCCCACAACAAAAGGCCACAGATGTTGCAGGTGTGGAGGCAGCGTGCTGACTGCAGGAATGTTCATATTCAGAGAATCTGGCGACACATCCAACCTGCCTCACACCTGCGGACACGTGGAACCACGTGGAGCCCGTGCTCGTTGTCCATAACATCCGCCCCGTACCACAACCCCACCACCACCACCACGAGCCACTCGATCCACAACGTGACATCAGCAAACCTCTCTGCTCTGTACAGGGAACACTGGGATTCATCTGCAAAGAGAACTCGTCCCCAACGAGCCAGACGCCATCGAATGTGAGCGTTTGCCACTGAAGTCGGTTATGATGACGAAGTTCAGTCGGGTGGAGACCTGCGTTCGGACGACGAGCGTTCGGACGAGCTTCTCTGAGAGGTTTCTCACAGTTTGTGCAGAAATTCTTTGGTTATGCAAACGGTCTCAGATGATCCTGGAGGTGAAGATGCTGGATGTGGAGGTCCTGGGCTGCTGTGGTGACTCGCTGTCTGCGGCTGTGAGGCCGGTAGATTCTTCTAATATGTTTGGAGACGACTTAAAGTAGAGAAATGGACATTTGATTCATGGACAACAGCTCTGGGGACATTCCTGCAGTCAGCATCCAACCTGCAACATCTGCGGCCTTTTGTTGTGGGCAGCCTGAAGCACACCTGCACAGTAGTCCCGCTGTGTAATCAGCACCTTGATCTGCCACACCTGTGAGGTGGATGGATGATCTCTGCGAAGGAGAAGAGCTCTTTGAGATCTTTGAGTTCAGATCATGAAACACGGGAGCAAAAATAAGTTACATTTATATTTTTGTTCAGTAGATTTATTACATTTAAAATCTTCATCACAAAGATTTTACTAATCTCAGTTCATACGGGCTGAAAAACACCAAAACATCAAAAGAAAAAATCTTAGGCGTCGACTTTGATCAGGTTTTTCTGTCGTCTCAGACGTTTTTATCGTCATCAGGAGTGAAGACAACCCTGTAATACTTCCTGCTGTCATAAATTAATATTCTTTTAAATAAGAAAATATAAATCGCACAAATATAAAAGTTGTGAAATTTAAGAGTTTGATCATTTCTGTATGAATCCATTTTATTCCAATATGTTTGTGGTTTATGTTCAAACCCAACTCTGAAAACGTACATATGTTGTTTAAAATGTAAATAACATGAAATTAATAATTTGCTAATTTAATAAGTCTTTATTAACGTCAACATATCAAATGTTAAATTAAAAAATTGTAACATTTATAAAAACAGAACAAGAAAATTTAAACGTTTGGCATCAACTTTGCTCAAAACGTTGGGGCAGATGTGTGTAACAGTTTGAACAAGGATCAGCTGAAGGAGCGTTTTACGAAGAGAACTGGGTTGAAATGTGTTTTAGAGAAGCTGAATCTTCAGTCAGGCAGAGGTTCCCCGCTCTGTTCTTAATGTTTCACAGGACGGTAAATAGTAAATGTACAACAGCTTTTACTGAAAGTGGTATTTGTTTTATTCCAGGTGATACTTTACATCTGTCAGGCATCGACATGATCGATGGGACTCCGGTGCTGGACATCAAACCCTACATCCCAGAGTACGACTCCCCTGACAGGAGGATGGCTTTAGCTTCACAGCTGTTTGAACCTCACTCAGGCCCGCCAGCTGTTTCTGTTCAAAATGCTCCGTTTAACACGGAAGACAAAAGAACGAGCGATGATGACGACGGTGGAGGAATTCTTGAAGAAGGCAGATCTGAGACGGACACCTGTTTTCAAAATGCACCGAGCGCTGATGCTCAGTTTGTTCTCCTCAAAGAAACGTGCCGTGTGCTGGAGGAGGTCAGATGCTTCATAAGCCAGGATGAGCGTAAGAGCCCAAAACGAGCCTGCTCAACGTCGGCACCAGCGACCTCCCCCACGGAGCGTCTCTGCCGTGGAGAGGAGGCCTCAGCCACCGTTGCCGGCTGGATCAGAGAACCTCCCGTTGCCTGCCTGGACGTGCGCTTCACTCCTCACGCTGAGAGGCAGCTCGCAGAGTTCCTTCCTGCTCACCTGGCAGGTAAAACTGGATTAAAGACCCAGTAATTCTTTAGAGGAAGGCAAATCACCCTTATGTTGCTAACAGACCAAACATTACCGTCTTTTAGGCGATGACAAAAGAAAACTGTTTGTTCCTCCACAAGAGGGTGCTGTGGTTATTTAAACTCATTTCTCTCTTCAGGACTTCCTGAAAGCAAAAGACCCAGTTTCAAGTTCCTGCGAAGTCCAGAGGAAGCTGTAGCTGCCATCAGGGGGGTTCTGTCAGCAGACCCCAGGTCAGTGTACAGGAGGAGTCGCTGCAGGGACAGACTCTTCTTCTTCACCATCGACACGGCAGACGTCACCTGCTGGTTTGGACAAGGCTTTGTGGAGGTTCTGCAAGTTCGACCTGTTGAAGATCACAAAGATGAAGAGTTCCACACGTAGCTTCATCAAACGCTCCTCACAGTCCAGCCCTTCAGAGAGCTTGTGAGAAGTACTTTTATTATAGAAAACAAAATGTCAAAACGTTGTGGAAGAAAATTTCAGTTTTTTTTTCCAATATCTTTCTGTCAAACTGATATGGTATAAATTAATTTAAATAATAAATATAAAATAATAAATAAAAAGTTGCTAAATTTGTTCAAATGAGAACAGAGTCCTGATGCTTCTCAATAATCCACTGGAAAAAAATCTAACAAGGTCCAGATGACCTGACTGAACATTGTTGGATTTTTTTACCGGGATTATTGCGCATGAACTTTGGTGTTTTGAACCACTTTGGCAAGACTGTCTCAGAGGAGTTGAGGGGGGAGAGGGTGGGCCCCGGAGGCCATCTTATCACCAGCAAATGTTTTTTTTTTTTCCATTATGGGGTATGCTGTTTGTGGGAATCAGTTTGTTTTGGTGGCTCTTCAGATTGAAGAAGTCCTTTGGATGAAGGACGAAACGTTTTGACAATCTACTTTTGTTTGTCAGCAGATTAAAGGACTCTAGACTCAGTAAACACTTCATAAATAATAAAAAAAACAATAAATACTTCATCACTGGTACATTTTCATCTTTAAATCACTTCTTGGTCTGCATACATCTCCTACATGTCTCTGTGTGGTTACAACTAAATCAATGTGAATATGGATATTCTATCGGGTATAAATAGTATTGGGGTATTAAAGCCAAAAATAGTCCATGCTCAATAATCCAGGTATACAATCCAACAATTTTCATTCGGGTCAAAAAAAAAAAAGAAACTCCAGATGACCTGACTGAAAATTGTTGTATTAGGGGTATTGGTTGCAATATAGAAGAAATAAAAAAAATGAAAAAATTATTAACTAAGAAAGTTATTTTGTAATTTATAAAGACTGATGTGCAAAAATGTGATGAGTTACAAAACAGGAGGGAGTTTAGGATTCGGTCTTCCATCTGATCAAACATGTTAGCTAAGGCCAGGTTGTCGTTTCATTTAGCTCCTGTGGGAGCAGCAACGGGTCGAACTACGTCTTGACGTCAGAAGAAGAAGAAGGCTGGACCAATAAGAGCGCTAGCTACGTCTTGACGTCATAAGAAGTGGACCAATAAGAGCGCTAAGTTGTGTTTTGAATGAAACGCGGTTGGTTGGCTCGGTCAAACATTTGTAAACCTGATTGAATTGGGCTTTTACCGATTTTAAGGTAACGTACTTTGCTATAATTCAACTCTCACCACAAAATAGTTAAAATAAGGGTTTGTAAAGTTAAGTTGGTTGTTATTTCGTGTTCTGCGTTAACTAGCTTCAGCTAACCAAACGTTTTAACGACTGTGACAACGCTCCTTTACTGATTCAAGTGAGTCAAGTTGAGATTCAAGATGTGTTTGTCATATGCAGCAAGGTTAACACAAGATTAACAGTACAATAAAATGCTTAGGATGAGAAGAACCGATTTGACTCGCTACAAAATCAAAGAACAAACAAACAAGAAATACTAAAAGAATGCAATAAGGGTACAAAAATAAAGTACCAAAAAGTGACAAAATAAATCTTTACAACGTCCTAAAGAGAGTGCAACGGTGCAAGCAGGATGGATTTGAATGAATAAGTGTGTGTATATATATATATATATATATATATATATAATCATAATTAATATACACTGTACTACACAGGTTGTGTGACAGGTTATTGCACAGGTAGTGACACTGAGGTTGAATTATGACTGTAAGGTAGAAACAGAAACTGTATCCTTCATGATACAGTTTCTGTTTCTTGGTGCAATGTTATTGTCAGTTCAGAGTTATTATCAAGCGTTCAATAATCTGACAGCTCGTCAATAATAACTGTCCTTTAGTCTTTTTGTACGTGATGACAGACTCCTCTATCGTCTGCCTGAGGGTAGTAGATGGAAGAGTCTTTGTGCTGGGTGGGTGTGGTCCTTAATGATGCTGCTTTACGTAAGCATCATCTGTGGTAGATGTCCTGGATGGTGTGGAGACTGCTGCCAGTGATGTCCTCTGCTGTTTGCACCACCTCTGTAGAGCTTTCGGACTCTGACTGGTGCAGTTTCAACCACTGGACGTGTATTATTATTATTATTATATATTATAACTTATCATACTTATTATTTTTATAACTGGACTTGTATTATTCCAAACCAACTCAAGTGGATTAAATTAGGTTTTTCTCTGCTTGTTTTTAAGCGATTGACTACATTTCAGGATAACAAATCGTGTTTTTCATTCAAGCTTTGTTTAGACGGGTCAGTCCCATTGAGCCTCGAGGACTCATTTACAGGAGAGACTTGTGTTCTGTTCTTTTACAGACTTTGGAGGAATTGCTTAAGTTTCTGTGTTGGAAAACAGAAAATACAGCTATGTTTAAAGCAGTTTGTCAATCTGAAGCTAGTATGGAAATCTCAGTTTTACTTGTAATTGAGAGGATTGGGGGGGGGGGGGGGTTGTACAAAAGAATTGCTGTAAATTTATTCTTCCTTACAATTAAACATAATAGAAATAATCTTTTGTATGAACAGGACTGTTTGATGCATTAAAAAAGATCTGATAGATTTTTTTTTATTTATTTCTAACGTACCATAAAATGATGAAAATATTATTGAAGTGTGATGTTTGTGTGCTATTGCAAACTTTAAAAAGCTGTAGACCAGTGTCTATTTCTTCTACAGGTTTGTGAGTAGTTTCTGAGAACTCCGGGGTGATGTCCAGGAAGTCGCGTTCCAGTGGGGAAGACCTGGTAAGACTTGCCCTTTGACTTGGACAACTGTAGCTCTAACAAGGTGGAGTCAGGTCCTCTGGACAGAGTCTTCTTGTTGAAACGTTTCTTCTTTTATCCAAAGGACTTCTTCAGTCTGAGGAGCTGCAGCAAACTCAGTCTTATAAACAGCACCTTCTCGTAGTGGATCAACCAGTTTGTTGTTGACATCCAGAACTAACTGTTCACATGATCAAGAAGGACCATCAGCCTAACAATTGCTTTTTACATTCATTCAACCTTTATTTCTACAGGCTAGTCTCATTGAGCCACAAGGACTCTTTTACAAGAGAGACCTGTTCCAGACAGAACATATAAAGTACAGACAACAATAAACAACAATAACGATAAACTACAGTAAAAATACAGTTAAAATAAGAGTAGTGTATAAAACAATAAATCAGGGTGCTGTAAAAAAGGGTGAAATACTAAAAACAATTGATCAACTGATCGTTAGTGCCCTGATGACCACTTGCTATTCACAGAGGGCCGAGTGATACTAGCAACAACAGGTTCTCTTCACAAAGATGGCTTCCTTTACCTGATATTACCTGATGCCTGATGATGTTGCAGGACTCTGAGGTCTACACTCATCTGCAGGTCAGAGGTCACTCATTCAGGGATGAAGATGTTCACATCCTGGACAGAGAGGAACGATGGTTTGAGAGAGAAGTAAAGGAGGCCATCTTTGTGAAAAGAAACCGTCCATCATTAAACAGGGGTGGAGCCTCCGTGTTCAATTGTCCCCCTCTTACAATGCTGTTATTGCTAGTATCACTCAGCCCTCTGTGAATAGCAAGCGGCCATCACCATCTGGATGTCAACAAACTGGTTGATACACTATGAGAAGGAGCTGTTTATAAGACTGAGTTTGTTGCAGCTCCTCAGACTGAAGAAGTCCTTTGGATTAAATATGAAATGTTTCAACAAGAATAATCTGTCCAGAGGACCTGACTCAACCTGGTTAGATCCACCTACCTGGATTACTGAGCAGCATCAGGACCAAATGATCTATTCAACCTTTGGATTTTAGTTCCCCAGCAGATGTGGAGAGCGTACCCCTCTTAAATGCTTGAACAATGAGATCCTGCTCTTGTCAAGTCCATCCTCGAGGCTCAAGTCCAGTGGTGATGCGGTGAAAAGGGCAGTGGTGGTGGGTCTATGCAAACATTATGGAATTTTTCAGCTTATTTGCCACTTAAATGCAACACTCATTATATATTTTTTTATCAACAGGGTGACATGCCTCTCTGTGACTCCGAGTCCCACGTGCTCACTTCTCCGTTGACTAAAACGATACAAACCTACCCTTCAACTACTGATGGAACCCTAACAGGTTCTGGACTTGGATATGTGACATTGAAATCCTTTCTTTGTGCTGGTGGTGAGGTTGAGATCGCAGACTCTTCTATGTGCACAGAAGGGGGACTGGCTGTGTCTGAAGCTGAAGCTGCATGTAGCAGTGACGCAGAAGATGACTTCATGGAGCAGTCACGCTGTGATCACATAGAACACCCCTACTACAACCCTGATGGTACACGGCCTTACTCTGATGGCATCAGTGCCGTTAACGTCCCTGAAACTTCCAGCAGCGTCTTCTCTTTGGGTGCTGTGGATGATGAAGAAGATTTACGAGCTTGTCGTGCTGACTGCAGTGAAGAGGAACATGCCACGCTGAAATCTTTTGGAGCTGAGCTGGAACTGTCAGACACCACCAAACCATGTGAAGAGACCGTTCCTCTGCCTGTGACAGGCTTCAGGAGTTCATCACAACATGATACATCTTCATTTATTGGCTCTGATGACGGTGCCCAGCTGGGTCAAACAGAACATGTGGATCATCCATCCTGTAGCAGTGGAACTGGTAGAGCTCCTGTCTTCACAACCTGTTCTCATACAAAAAGAGGATCAGAAACTGTTTCTCATGAGTTGAGTGAATCAACCTTGAAGCCTTTGGACTGTGCAGGAAGTGCGAATGAAATGTCTGTAGACCCTGAACTTGTGGAAAACACTGTTCCTCTGCCTCACATGGTTTCCAGCTGCAGTGTTGATCCAAGTGTGTTAGCTGGTGACAACGTTTTGTACGATTACGACCGCGCAGATTGTCCAAACTGTACCATGAAAAACAATTCCCCCAGCATCTCCAGCAGTGAGGCATGTCCATTGAGCTCTGTTGAAGCTGAACACATGAGCTTGGTGAGAACTGAAGAACTGGTTGGTGCAGAGGAACCCTCCGTTGTTCTACCAGCTGCTGAGGATGATGAATACGACCACCAGCTTCTAGAGAAGCTTCCTCTTCTACCTCAGGCCCAGAGTGGAGACTGTCCACCCACTGTTGAATCCGTGTCTGCGTCACGTGCACCGGACTGTACCGAGCAAGCTAACAGCCACCTGGATGACAACAAAGTTGCAGCGGACACTGATTTACCAGTTTATAATGGATCTCTACTGACCGAGGCATCTTTGGAAGCTGTGACTGAGACAGTAAAATATGAAGTGCTGCAGCTGGCAGAACGTTCTGAGGACAACACAATGCCCTCAGTTGTTCATGGAACTGAAGGGTCTGCCTGCAGCCGCCTCGCAGCTTCAGCAGGAAGTTCTGTGCATGAAGAAGTGCAGGAGTGTCTGGACCATCTGTTGCAAGTATGTTCCACTGACGGATCTCCTGAATCCAGTGGGAGACACGACGCTGCTCATGGCTCAGCTGCTGGTGGTCAAGCCTTTTGTGTCTCTACAAAGCAAACTGCAGAGGACTTCCCTGATGTCATGAAGGTCCTATCAGAGTGTCCCTCAGTTGCCTCAGTCTTGCAGTTGGGAATCCTCAACCCTAATGTAAGAAGAGCCTCTTTGTCTTTACTAAATTTGCCTCAGAGCAGATTTTTGGCTGACAACGCTGAAGGTGACAAAAGCTTGGCCTCTCATGTCAACGCTGATCCGTGTAAATTCTGGGCCGAGCACATGGAAAGCCCCGTGCCCCGGCCTTTGTTCAACTCCACGAGAATAAGTTGCAAGTCTCAGCCAGACTCGGCCACGAAGCAGAAGGCAGATTTGGGGAAGAGGCTCGGTGCTTCGCCTCAATCTGGAGGAGTTCCCTTGATGCCCGAGGGCCAACTTCAGCAGCAACTGCGACAGATGGCGGAGTTCCTGCTCCTGGCCTCTGGACAGGTGGGTGCTGCAGGTGCGCCCCCTCCTGCTGCCTCCACTGCCCGCTCACTCGGGGCTCCTCCTGCGGAGTCTCACAGCGTCTGCGTCGGAACCAGCCCCGACCACAGCCTCAACACGTCCGGAACATCTGCGAGGGTGGAAGGATTCTCCGCCGTGGACTCGTGCACTGAAACTGACCCGCTCGTCTGGAAGTGAGTGCTCCATCTTTGAGTTTGGAGTTTATTTCTCTCCCCCCCCCCTCTAATGTTTTAACGTTGTGCTGCTTCTCACTGGGCTTTTTGTCTGCTCTTAGTTTATCTCCGGGCAGCTTGGGAAGTCTGCCCAGGGAGGAGCTGGAGCAGAGGTTGGTGTCCAGCCTGATCATGGTCGAGGTCCTCGTTCAACAGCTGGCTGTAGCCAGATCTCAGGGGGGGGCGTGTGCGGGGCCTGCGCCTTCAAATCTCAGAGAAAAGCTCGTGCAGACGGACCACACTGAGCTCAGTCAGGTACAGACAACAGGCCAACAGTGTTGGTGCAACATGAACTAATGACACGCTCTGATGTTTGATCTAGACCACGATGTACAGAGACCTGTACGTGGAGGCTCTGAGCAGGATCCGTGAGCTGGAGCTGGACGCAAGTTCTCTGCAGAACCTCATCCAGTCCATGCAGGACATGAAGACTTCTGTGGTGAGACTAGAAAAACTCGCATGACCTTAATTTTAAACAGAAGACGGCGTTTCTTCATGTAATTGGTCTTTAATTAAAACTGAAACATCCCAACAGGCGTCTCTGAGCAGAGACACGGACTCTGCTCTGTCTGGCATGAAGGAACGATGGCGCAACGTCAGGGAGGACCATCACCAGCTGATTTCACACGTATGGAAACTTCTCTTGACATCACAGACGAGCTTCTTGTTCTTGTCTGCAGCGTATTTCACTTTTCTCTTCTGTGTTAGTACGAGCACATGAAGACTCTGTGTGAGAAATCCAAGGAGCTGCAGATGAGAACGGTGCAGAAGATGAAGGAAGTTCTTCAGGAAAGGGAAGACATGAGGACTCGGATGGAAGAGGCCTTGACAGCCAAGGATGCTGTACGCACCCATCAGTTTGTTTGGGACTTTTCTTACGTTCGTCCTCCGTCCAGCTGGGCTTTTCTAATAAACGTCATGAAGTTCTCGCTCTTTCGCCGTCGTCTCTTCTCAGGCCTTCAGTGTGACGAATCAACTCAGGACTCACTCTGCTGCAGAAATCTCAACCCTGGAGCAAAGTGTTGGATCGCAGCAAGAACTCTTGGCTGCTTTAAACCGAACGTATCCAAAGCAGGTGCACAGCGACGACAAACCAAACTCCATTTATTTTAAACTCTACGTTTAACGTTTGTCCTTTGCTTTCTTGTGCAGGTCGCGTTAAACGAAGCTTGTAGTGCAACGCTCGTCTCTGCCTTTGATGTTTTGTCCCAGACCACGGAGGAGCACTCCAGCCTGATGAGTGACGTACGTTGGCTGTAAAATCTGCACCAAATGTTCATCTTCTATATTTCTCTGCTGCGCGTCAGGGGCTGCTGCACTTGACGCTTGTTAGCTCACAGAAGCAAACGTGACCTGCACACCGTTATCTTTGGATGTGCGGAGCAATGATGGGCTGGTTTTCCACTCGTTGCAGCTCCACGCAGTCGTGGGCGTCCTACAGAAAACTGCCCCCGTCCTCGTCCTGCTCAACGAGAGAACGTCTGCAGCTCTGAGGGAGAAGGAGGAGAGTTGTTCTGCAAGAGACCAGGCGGTGGACGAGCGACGACAGGTTTGTCATTTGGACATTTCACCACCCTTGTCTTTCTGTTTGCCTCAACTTGTTCCCTTTTTATTTTTAAACAAACTTGTTCTTAACAGACGGAAGAGGAGCTGAAAGAAACGTGTTTGAATCTCCGTGCTGCCAAACAAGAGATCGGGGATTTAAATCTGCAGGCGACGATTCTGACGTCGGGTAAATGGATTAATTTTATTCTGTCCTTGCAAAGAGCCGGCTGTTGATCAACTGTAGATATTCTTGGCTTTTCTTTATACACTGGTATTTATCTGTTTAATCATTAGAAATGAGTGTCCTGAGACAAAAACTAACAGGAAAAGAGGAGGAGGCGTGTCAGCTGGAGAGGAAGGTGACGGAGTTGTCCGCCACCATTTCCTCCACGTTGGCGTCCTACTCGTTCCTGGAGCAGGCTCTCGCTGCTGAGACAACAAAGTATGAGGCACCTGCTGAAGAGACGCGTTACTTCAGAAATAAAACTGGAACGACGCTCCTCGGCCCTACAGAGTAACTTTTGTTTAATCGTCAGGTTGCAGCAGTCGTGGCAGGACATTCGACGAGCTAATGAGAGAGCAGACCAGTGAGTGGTGGTGTTTTAATATTTACAGTTCATAGGTCAGTTTGGTGATGTTTAACGTAACAAAGAGGTTCTTGTCAAGATTTCAATTGCTTAGATTTGAGCTATTCAACTGATGTGCTCCGTTCGGCCCAGAAATGGGTTAATTTTTAAATAAAACCAGATTTTAAACCATAAAACAAACTTACTGAATGATAATAACTGCTGGATGTCCGGCCCCTGGGCTCTGGGCTTCCAGTAACAGTGGCCCCCCTGAGCACTTGCTGTAACGGTTTGCTGCCCTGCAGGATGGAGGCGTCCCTGCAGGCTTCAGAGGAGCGTGAGCGTGAACTACGCCGGGCTCTGTCTCGGAGCGAGCACCAAGTGGCTCAGCTGCAGACCCTGTCTCAGTCTCAGGGTCTGCAGGTCCAGCAGCTCCAGGAGAGTTGTGCACAACTTGGCGGCGTGCAGGAAATGAACGAGGTCAGCTTTTTAAAATGTCATTTTTTTCCATTTTCTGTGGTACTTGTACCTTGTCTTAACATTTTTACGTTTCTCTGCACTTCTGTCCTAAAAGGGATCTGTGGTCACTTCAGTCGCACCTTTCTGCAGGACAAAATTAGTTTTTGATACCAAAGTTTATTTTGTAGTTTTAGTTTGTGTAGAAAGTGCTTGATTTGTATTTGTGACTAGCAAAATGGTTCATAAACCAGTCGACAGATTTTAACTAAACATTTTTAACTGATGGGGACGTCTCGGTCACCGTCAAGATGGCCGCCACAGCTAAGCGACCTTGAAAAAATGGCTGTAATTTAGCTCATTTGACAGATATTAAGATAACCCGTCTGGGTTTGAGGGGACAGGAAGTAGAATCGGTCACACAGTGACAGGTCCAGAATGGAGGCGAGCAGGTCGCTCACTAGGTGAAAGACAAAAAAAGGTTAAGCTAGAAATAATTATAAATACAAACCATTTAGAACTACTGGTATCCATTTGATAAAATGAGGTTAATTCATCCTCAGTAGCCTATAGCAGCATAAATAAGGGGAAAGTCAGGAAACCCAATCCGACCCCAACTATAGTATTTATCAAAAAGGAAAGTCTTAATCCCAGTCTCAAACTGGACATTGTGTCAGCCTCACGGACAGAAACTGGAAGTTGGTTCCACAAGAGAGGAGCCTGAGAACTGGAAGATCTTCCACCCATTCTGTTTTTGGAAACTCTAGGAACCTGAGGTTAATGCCACCCAGAGAAAGTGAAAGACTCCAAAATTTATTCCTAAGATGCTCAGGTCCAAAAACCACAACCTCGGTCTTGTCCAAGTTTAAAAGCAGAAAATTAAGGGTCATCCAGGTTTTTGTGTCTTTAAGACATGCTCTAAGTAGCTGATTGGATTCATTGGGTTTCATGGAAAAATATAACTGTGAATCATCAGCATAACAATGAACATTTATCCCATGCTGTTTAATAACTTTACCTAATGGAAGCATAATAAGGTAAAGAGTATTCGTCCAAGCACTGAACCCTGAGGAACCCCATGAGTTATTCTGTATGTAATCCTGATGCTGACGAGAGCAGCTGATGATGATGTTTATTCTAAACAGACTGAACTATTGTTCTGTGTGTGGCTGCAACATGACTCTTCTACTCTTAGCCCCACGAGATATTACAACATCCTATATATTTAAAACAATTCAAATACTGTATGTGGCTAAATGAACTATGCAGCTGTTAATATAACAAGCACCCTACTAAAGCAAATCTGTGTCGGTTAACTTTTGTTCTTTACATTTTCTGTGTTGTCTTTCTGAGCCAGTGGTGTCTGTCTGTTTTTAACGGTGAGTTTTTAATGTTTCAGTTCCTGCAGATGGAGAACGAGCTGGTGCGGGAGCAGGTGGCTGAAGGTGAACGAATGCTGACGACCAACCTGCAGGCGCTGCGGGACAGGAACATTGCTTATGAGGATCTAACAGGAGAAGTTTGCAAACTTCAGTGAGTTGAAGTTCACAAGAATGACCCAGTTTTAGTTTTACGTGCCGCTCTCTGCAGGTCAGCGGGTCGTCTTTGCTTAAACAGAAACTATTTCTGAGCTGACGCGTTCTGACGTTGTTTCAACACATCGAATGATAAAATATAAAACATCGTTTTCATTTCAGGGCTGAGAACAGGAGTTTGTCTGACGAGCTGAAATCCTCAAGCTCTGCAGCCGACGCAGCTCGAGGGGAGCTCGAAGAAAAGCTGGCTCAGGCCGTCACTGAGATTACGCTGCTGCATCACACGCTGCGGGGGCTGACGAACGAGCTGCACGCTTCTCTCATGGACCAGGTCACAACTAATGCACAGCCTCTTGTACTTCTGTAAACTGTCCACTGCGCTGCGGCTCTCAGGATGCATGTCATGCAATAATGCTTTTCAAACAGGAAGAATGTCTTTTAAACACCACATGAAACGTTCCTCAGTCATGTGAAATAAACTTGTACAGTAAACGGGTTGTATAAAGATGTATGCACATTACTTCCTTCTTAGAAACAAGATCTAAAGGAGGAGGAGTCAGGAGTGCTCTCTAGTGCGGAGCAGCGTCGTCCCTCCACTTCCTTCGTCAGCAGCATCATATCAGCATCAACTGCAGAGAAAGACGAAGACGTCAGAACCAGCACGTCTGCTGCATCTGGTACTTTAATCACTTTGTCCTCTTAAAAACACACATTCAGCGTATTAGAGTTTATTTACTTACTCATTTAGGAGCCACACGATGAAGATCTGGGACAGAGTTGTTGTAGTTAGACTTTTAAACTAGAAATTTACAGCAAATTGTCTCCTGTTTGTTATCGACACTCAGCATTTCTTATCGATGTGTTTTTAGTAGTTCTCAACATCTTTATCTGCTGTAGCTGTAAAATAAACGAGTCATCATCATCAATAGTTAAAGTAAAAACCAGACCGTTGTCCTTCGTCTCCACAGATCCTCCTGAGACGTGGAGCAGGCCTTTGTTCAGTGAGAAGAGTGCCTTCACCTGCGTCGCAGCTCAGAGAGCTCCAGACGTGGGCTCAGCTTCAGAAGAAGCGCAGCACCGCGACGTGGCCGACCTCCTCTCCGGCCTCGGCAGCACCGTCTCCGAGCTCGTCGGCACCGTGGAGTCTGTGCGGCGGAGCAAAGACGCTCAGCTGCAGGAGCTGCACAGCAACATGTGAGCGTTGGAGCCGGGTGCAGAGATCAATATTATTATTGATATATTTACAGCTCACATCTGTTTAATCCTTTTCTACTCTTGATTGACCAACGACTTGCAACAAGCACGTCTGACACAGCATTCTACCACACCACTTTATTTATAAAGCACTTAAATCAGCAGCGAGGCCGAGCAGAGAGCTGGACACCAAAACAAAACAAGCAAAGGACAGAATAAAATGCATAGATCCACATAAAGACAAGAACTAAATAACTAACATTATAGAATATTACAGAAAGTTAAGATCAACTCGCATGTCGCGATAAACAATAAATCAATTAATCGCACGATAAATGAAAATTATTGACCTAATTTTCAATTATCAGATTTATCGTTTCTTCTTGTCTCTCTCTTTCTACTGAAGACACTGGAGGACAAAAGACTCTTCACTGACCCCTCCCCTTCTCTTTTCTCTTTAAAATCTGTTTTAACGTTCAAAATCGTGTTTTGAATCGTTAAAAGTAGCTAAACTGAGAAGCTAAGCTACGAGCTAAGCTAACAGGCCGACCTCGGGGGGAAAAACCTCCGTCTTGTCGAAGCTCCAAAATTCACGGTTGAAACTCGTGCCTTCGTGAAAAAAGTTGTTTTTCTCTGAAAAAAGAAGCCGAGAACTTGTTTACTGATTTTTTTTATTAAAAGTTTTGTGTGAAAAACGCTAAAGAACTCGAACCACACCGAGCGTCTGCCATCTTGAGAGACAGCCCATGTCACGTCAAGGGGCCTCCCTCACATTTATCTTAAAGAGACGCGCTGCTCGCTCCCTCACTATCCATCCTTCAGTTCAGACTGTTTTACACTGCCATCCAGTGGTCAAAAAAGGTTCTACATGCAAAACATTAAACATTTCTTCTTAAATTTGACTTTTTATTGTCAAGTTTCAAACAACATTATTGTTTATCACAATAATTTCTGAGACAATTAATCGCCCAGTAAAATTTACCGTGACAGTCGAAACCAGAGAATAAAAGTGAGTTTTTAAACGAGACTTAAAGTCAGTGAGAGGGCGAGCCTGGCTGTCGTGCAGTGGTGACTCGTTCCACAGTTTTGGACCTGCAGCAGAGACGGTTCCGTCACCTCTGAGCTGAAGACGGGTTCCTGGAACCAACAGAAGCATCTGGTCTGACCTCAGAGAGCGCTGTGGGACATATGGCTGCAGCAGATCAGCCAGACCCTGAACATCCTCCAAATTATAAATGTTATGGTTAATTTAAAAAAGTTGCACATTTTTAATGCTATATTTGACTTTTTGTTGTTTATTTCCAGAAGTGTCTGCAAAAACCCGTTTAAAGCGCGTGGAACGTTTGATTTTGGAGCGCACGTTAATTTGACAGTTGGGCGTTTTGCTGCTGTTTTAATGCGCTTCACGAGTAAAGTTGATTTGAAAAGCGAGCTGCGTTGTGACCGAGGAGCGTGAGCAACGTCTCTGAAGACAAGTTGTGTATTTTTACTTGTGCAGTTTGAAAAGTGCGTCTGAAAAACTTTATGAATATTTTGATAAATCTTGTGGAAGTAACTTTTGTCATAGATGATGAGAAAACTGACTTGACGTGAAGTCGACGGACTCCTGATTGAATGAAAGGAGCTCTTTCTGACGGGCTTCGTCCTCCGGACTCCATCCGTATTGTTCCGTATGAGGACTCGTCTAAACATCTCAACGTTCTGTGATGTTGTTCCAGCCACCGCCTGCAGGTGGAGCAGCAGGCTGCAAGCAGCCACCATGAGGCTGAGGTGATGGAGCTGAAGCACCAGCTGGACCGCCTGCAGAACCAGGCTGAGAGAGGCCATCAGGCCCTGCAGCAGAAAGCTCTGGTCAGTTGTTTGTGCTTCTGTAAAGACCTCACAGCAGGAGGCTCTGAAAGGTTTCGTATGTTTTTCATTAAAGGACGAGAAAACCTTGACGAAGCTGATGGCCGACGTTCAGGAGGCCCAGGAGATTCTGAGCAAACACAAGACCGACAATAACGTAAGCTCTAAACACAGAGACGCACAAATCCTCCAGATGTTTATGCATTCTTTAGTTTTAATTTGAGTCTTTTACAGGAACTAAGAAAGGAGGTGGTGGAGCTTCGTCTCGCTCTGCAGCAGTCGAGGGTGGAGGCCCACCACCTCCGGGACGAGCTGAGGAAGTCCGGCAGCCAGTCGAGTAACGCAGCTCGTTCCATGGAGGAGAAGATCCAGCTGCTGAGACAGGTCCGTCACTCACGTCTGCGTGTTTCCACGAGCACATGTTTATACTTCTGTGTCATCAGATGGAGAGGATGAAGGTGAGCCTTCAGGAAGCGGAGCAGGCCCGAGTCAAGCTCCTCGACCGAGCCAAGAGACACGTAGGTTCTGATCCGTTTGATTGAAACGGTCACGTGACGGGACTTCATGATGCAAAATGTTTCTCCTCGTCTCTCGCAGCAAATCGTCCATCAGACCAACATTCACAAAACTGAGATGGAGCTTCAGATTTTAAACGACATAATCAATAAAGTCCGAGAGGTGAGTTCAGTTTTTATTCTTCAAATTTCACCTCCAGAGCCGTTTGTTTGAGATTTAAAAATGTAAAAACATTTAAAATAGTCTCTGCAAAGATTTCACGTGGCTCTGATGTTTATTTATTCATTAACCTTTATTCATAGTTATTGTATTTATATATTATTTAAAATAACTTGCTCTTCACGCAGACGCTGCTGTCTCTGCCAGAAGTCACGAAAGGTTGTGAACAGCTGCAGCAGCTGCTCAAATACATCGGCTGATACATCAGCTGAAGGTTTCCTCTGTTGTTTTAGCTTCATTAATATTATTTTTCATTAAAGGTTCAGATGTTGAGTTTTACAAGTTATCCTTGTTTGTTTTATTTTACAAATAAAGGAAGAATCAAAAAACAATTGAATCTTTCTCCAGTAATGATGTGAAAATGTCATTTTAAACGCTGAGCCTGTTCTGAACACGTGCAAGCGGGAAGAAAATTAAAGGCTAAAGTAAAAGTTTCGGCTGTTTGTCTGCTTGGAGATGAAGACACTGCAAATATGAAGCGGTTTAAAATAAATAAAAAACTGTTGGACACCACAGACTTTTATTTTCTGGTCTTGAAGTTTGATCAAATAGTTCAACAGATTCGAAACAGTCACCAAACTAAACCGTATTTAATGTTTGGATGACGGGCACGCCTCAATACATTTTCTTAGTTTGGGTCCAGATGTGGTGACTCGTTTCTAATCATTCTTAAAATAAAATACGACGGTATAAATACACAAACCTCGTCATTTGTCTTTAAACGTTTTGCCCCAAACTGATTCTGTCCTGTTTTAAATGAACTCACCGAGCCGACGCATTTAATTCTGTATTTGTCTTTGACACTAAACTATAATAATATTCATTAAATATAATAAGTAAAATAAATGTAATAAGCATGTTCCCTGCAGGGGATCAGGGGTTCCTCACTGCAGGTTTTAACTAGATTCAGTTATTTTCAATGTAAATGTATTTAATGTCTGAAGCGCTGTAGAAGAAACGGTAATTATTATTGTATTTAATTTTAAAGTTAATTCCTTTTGTACACAGAGGTTTAAATGTAAGTTGGAGAATAAATCACGTGTTTAAAACGGCAAACAATAAATAAATTATCGTTTTGCATAGGTTGATTAAAATTGCACAAAACATTTTTATTAATTAAATTTCATCAATGTTTACAAAACAAGCAAAAATAAATTATTTGACTTGTTAGCCATAAAATAAAATTCAATTCCTACATCAAAAATGAGATTTGTCCAAAGTTTCCATTAAGACGTGCAGACGGTGGAAGACGTGTCTCATCGTTTGATTTCTTTCTGGGATCAAATATTAAATTACAAATAGTAAATTTATTGTACAACTTTATTTTCTGGATTGAAGAGCGTCTCGGCATGAAGACGGTCCGCTAACTCCAAGACGGCTTCACCTCAGCTGCAACACGTGGCTCCTGCTTTTAAAACATTTTTACTTTAAAAGAGTTCAACTCTGTTTCATTCTAACATTCTGCTGTTGCAAATATTAACAAATTACGTTTGAAGAAAATGTGCTTTTTCACTTTATTTACACAAAATGCAAACTAAATGTGCAGTTTATTTTGACCCCCCACAAAAAAACCATGCAGAGCTTTAGCCATTCGAACCAGCCACTTATTGTAAAACAACCCGATGACCACGAAACAATAATTTATACGAACGTTACGAAGGTTTTTAAAATGCAGCAGTTCTGAGCTCGCCCTGTGAAGCTGCCACGAGCAACAAACTTCAACCACGCACAGAATTTAATTTACAGACGGACGCAGCTGCAGTTCAGACCTTTGCATCTGGATTAGACTTAAACAATCACGAACAGGAAGTTGTCGTCAGTCCTGAAAACGAGGCCAAACTAGAAAAATCACAGTCGCGTCTCCGGACGAGCTTCTTGTTTGAACGTCACGAGTTTAGCAAAAACAGTTTGTGCCTAGAGATGTCCGGCTCCGTCCAGCTCCGTCCGGCTCCGTCCGGCTCCGTCCGGCTCCGTCCGGCTCCGTCCGGCTCCGTCCGGCCCCGTCCGGCTCCGTCCGGCTCCGTCCGGCTCCGTCCGGCTCTGAGGCACTTCTGACAAACATCAGCGTTTTCTAGATGGCAGGAACGAAGCGCTCCATGCTCCCAGGGTAGGGGGGGTGTCTCAGGTACCCCCCGCTGTTGGAGACAGGACCTGCTGTGCTGTTGTACTGGGAGAAGGAGCCGAGCTGCACGGGGGACGCTCTGCCGTAGTGCTCCAGAGCCTCTGCAGAGCCCTGAGGCGAGGTCTGGATCCGGCCCGCTGCCGTGTACCCCTGTCTGTGGCCTTGTCCGTAGGAGCCTTGATGGGGGTGATGAGGATGGCTGCTCGGCCCGGAGTAGGTGAACCCCGGGTGTGCCGAGGAGCGCGGTGGCAGGGCTCCCCCACATGGCTGAGTCTGGAAACCAGACCCCCCCAGGCTGCAAGGATTAGGTCCGTTTGGTAGACCTTCGGGACTAAAGCTCCGGCTGGGCTGCTGCATCATCTCTGACCCTTGACCCGCCATCATGCTGGCTGAGGCTGGGTGTCCGATGATGTTGTTGATGCTGAACATGCGGGTCTGACCAGGTCCAAACCCAGGGGGGGACGAGGAGGGGTAATAGGCGGAGGGCAGCTGCTGGCTGTAGGTGGGGCTGACGGTCATGTTGGGGTAGACTGTGTTGGAGTATGCAGCTGATCTGGTTATCTGGACCGGAGAGAACACCGGGGCCTCGTGCACATACGAGGAGTACGTGCTCAAGTCGCAGCGCTTGAACCGCTTCCTGCGCCTCAGGAAACTGCCGCTCTCGAACATGTCCTCTGCGTTGGGGTCCAGGGCCCAGTAGTTGCCCTTTCCTGGCCGGCCGGGCTCTCGAGGGATCTTGATGAAGCAATCGTTGAGCGTCAGGTTGTGGCGAATGGAGTTCTGCCACTTCTTGGAGTTGTCCCTGTAGAAGGGGAACCGCTCTGTGATGAATTTGTAGATGCCCCCCAGCGTCAGTTTGCGGTCAGGGGAGTTGGCTATGGCCATGGAGATGAGCGCGATGTAGCTGTACGGTGGTTTGCCCCTCTCAAGGGGTCTCTTCCTCCTCCTGCCCCGGGGCTGCTCCTCGGTCTGTGGTGAAGGGTTGGAGGAGGGAACGGTGGTGTCTGCTGAAGAGTCTTTTTCCACTTTGACCACAGGCATCGTCAAAGACGGTCAAACAATCCCAACAAGTTCAAAGTGTCAAATGAATTCACTGCAGAAGCTGAACGTCTCAGTTCTCCCACAGATCTGGGAAGTTCCTCGTGTGTAACCAAAGTAGCTCCTGGACAGTGGAAATCAGAACAAGACATCTGCCCCTGTTCTCTTGGTAAAAAGCCGTTTTGTCTCGTCTTTCTGTGAAACGACTCACTGCGGTGGAGTCCACGTCCCAAACCTTCAGGCAGGTAAAACCTTCGGTTGTTGGATGCAGTTCTTCGGTTTGGCTCTTTTTCCACAGAGTCTGGTGTCGCTCAGGTTGACGGATCACATAGTGAGAGCGCCGTGTGTGGGAGAGAATGAGTCACGCTGAGCTACCTGAAGAGTGTTACCTGTGCAGAGCACCTCCAGGGCCACGCCCCCGCAGCATCACATGCTCTCAGCATACTTCAGCTTTATACGGGTCTATTGTTCGTGCTTGTCAAAGTCTGACAGCTTTGTTGGATAAAAAAACTGAAAGGTATTTTATTTAGTAATGAGCTCCTAATACTGACATGAAAAGAAAAGCTTTGATTTCCAGGTGAGGTCAGAAAAAATGTCTAAAATGAGTTTTAAACGAAGCGTTCTGATGCCTTTTTAAACTTTCATTCATCAGTTATTCTAACGAGGCCTTTTAAAAAGTTAAATCACCCCAAGCTGTCCAAAACAAACATCGTTTCCTCTTTATAGCTAAATGTTTCTTTAAAGTCGACCTCAGTTTGTTTTAAAGATCTAAAATGGTCCACGTTGTTTGGACGTTTAGCACTAAAGCGCCTCTTTAGTGGTAACTTAACCTACAAGTTGTTTTTCTATCGTGCTTCCTTGTTTGCTTTGTGCCAGTGGTTGGACCAGCCAGCTGTGTTAAGAGATGTAAATAATTTCCAGACAAAGGCCCTCCAGTGATTTCAGCATGCAAACTATCGGCCGTCATCAGAAAGTCTGGATGCAACCTGAGAGACGAGGAGCAGAACCCAGAAATCAGCCACTGAAGTAGGTTTTGTTCAGACTGTGGCGCTTTTGATTGCTCGCTGCTGCAAAAGCCGAAGGATCGTGTAAATCAGTTGATCCTTTTTAAATATAACACGAGAAATTGAATTTCCTGCAAAAATGCAGAATGCTTTATGCTCAAACTTGCTGAAAAACAGCTGAAATTAGCTAAAAAAAAGACATGCTGAAATGGAAGAACAAGACTAAGTTAGCAAAAGAAAGTAGAAAGAACACATTTGCTGAATTGGGTTCAAATAAGATGAAATGAGCAAAAAAATTAGGAAAGTAGCTAAAAAAAACTAAAGCTGAAAAGGCAGAAAGAAGCTTAAACTACCAGAACGAAGCAGAAAGAGCTAAAATTGGGTAAAAAAAGTGGAATTGGCTGAAAAACCTAAAATTAGCATAAAACAGCTAAATAGCATCTGAAATAACAAATGGCTGAAACTAGCATAATTAAGCTGAAAGGAGTGTAACGAGCTAAAATTAGCATAAAGAAGTTAATTAGGTTGAAAGTAACAGAAATGATCATGAAAAACTTGACTTTATCTGAAGACTGCTGAAATCAGCTTAAAATATGCTACAAAGGTAGCTGAAAGAGTGAAAACACATTTTCCCAGTTAGGCTGAAAGAAGAAGAAATGATCACGAAATCAGAAGAAAAGAAACAAAAAACAGCTGAAAAGTAGCTAAAATAGCAGAAATACACTTAAATTACCAGAAGGAAGTGGAGAGAGCACATTTTGGCTGAATTGGGCTGAAAAATGGTGAAATGAGTTGAACAAATATGGATGGAATTAGCTGAAAAAGCTCAAATTTGCATAAAAACAGCAGAACAGTAGCTGAAATAGTAGAAAAAGCTGAAACTTGTAGAAATAAGATGAAAGGGGCAGAACAAGTTGGAATTAACAGAAAGAAGTTAGAGGAAACGCATAAATATAGTTAGCAGAAAGAATCTTAAAGGAACACAAAACAGCTGAAATTAGCTGAAAAATTTTCAGCAGGAAGCTGAAAGAAGCTGAAGCAGAACAAAATGTGAAAGCAGCAGTAAAAGGTTGTAAACACATCTAAAGAGCTGAAGGAGGTAAAATGAGCTCAATTCATTTTCTACGAGGAAAAAACGTCAGAAAAGGCTAAATATTTCAAACAGCTAAAGTTGCACCAACACCAGACGTCACAGCAGGTTTGTCCTGAAAGAGCCGAACGTTTTGATTCATGATTTAACAAAATAACTTGAAAACTGCAGGAAGAGAACGATGCTGAAGAAGAAAAATAGAATTCTTCATTATTCCCTCCATGAGCTAAATGTAGCGCGGCAGTAGATGAGAGTCCTCTGCAACGTGCACACTGAGCACAAGCAGACCTCAGCAGGTAGAGCGGCGGGCGACGTGCACTCCTGCACAGAAATGTTTGTTTCGTTAAAGGACGGTGCCGAGCCCGTCTTCAGAGCTTTTAAGTCGACGTTAAACAACAACAGCAGCAGCTCAGGTGCTGAGAAGTCCAGGTACTCTGCGAGGGCCGGAGGTTCTCCTGTAATCTCTAAAACAAACAGAATAAACCCCGGCAGCTCAACACCAGGCCCACTGTGCCACCGCTCAACACCAGGCTCCTGCTCTGCAGGCGTGTCCGCAGAGAGCGAGCTCGCTGGAACAACAAGCTGAGAAAAGGTTTCGTGGTGCAGGAAGGCCCGGACGTCGAGCGGCGTGGTGTTCGGGTGCGGCGTGTGATGAAACCAGGAGCTTTTGAATGTCACTTTAGCTCCGTTCAACTTCCTGCCCGCTGCAGCAGCGAGCTGAGAGCGTTAAAGACGTGAACTTTGTGTAACGAGCCGCTGAGCCACGATGTGTTGACATTTATAGAAGAAAGGGGGTTACCTAACACGGTACTCGTCTGTTTCTTAAAATAATCCAGCTGTAATCTAGTTCTAATCTCACAAATCCACTCTAGGCTTTCATCGTGTTTAGTCACATCTTAGCTTTAATCAATCTTTTCCTGCCGTGATTGAAAACTTATTATTTGGATACTTATGGCAAATATTTTGTTTGAAAGATTCAGAACTTCACAGGAAGTGATGCAAAAATCTTTACATTAATAAAATAAAAGTCTTTTTTGCTGTTTTTCAAACGGACGACATTATTTATTTGAGTTCGCTGAGACAAAGAGTCGTGCACAAACACCGATTAAAAAATAATTCATTTAATTTTGTCTCTTCGGCTTCAGCTCGTGCACTTTGTTGTACACCTTTTCTAAATAAACTGTCGTTTCCCTGAAGCTCAAAAAGCTCGTTAATGTTTAAAACGACAACGGATTAAGCACATCGACATATTTGCACGTGCTGATCTGTGGATGTTTGTGGAACGAGTTATTTTCTCACTTTCTCCAAATTTAATATAAATCTGAGCTCGGCCTTAAGGATGAACTGAAGTTTTAGTGCTCACTAAAAACAATTCATAATTAAGTTTAGTAAAAATTCTCTTGTGCTAAATATTAATGTCACAGGAAGTACAAGAACAGTTTGTCTATAAAGAACAGATTTGATTCACTTAGCCTTTTTTAAAAACACATTTAGTGAATTGTTTTAAAGTTTCATCCTCTCAAATCATCTGATTGTTGCAACGATTGTTTGACCGAGATCACGTGTCAGAAATCACAGCGCACAAACTTTTACGTACGTTTTCTTCTTAAAATCTGAAACTTGTGACGTTCGTCTCCAGTTTTCCTGATTTAAAGCAACAAAACTATGAAAGTCAAAGTTCAGTTGTAGATCGCAGTTTGAACGTCCTCGGATTCAAAACGCAGAGTTGAGTTGGTCGTTACAAATGACATAAAAGCTGCTTTAAGAAGTTCAAAATAAAACGATGACGATCGCAACCTTTCATGAAAAACTGCAACGATCAAGAGGAACATCAACGTTCATGTTCAATAATCCAGGTACAAATCCAACTAAGTTCAGTCCGGTCACCTGGACGGTTTCTTTTGTTGTTGTTGTTGAGACGTTTCGTCCTTCATCAAAAATAAAGAAACCGTCCAGAGGACCTGATTGAACTTTGCTGGATTTCTTACCTGGATTACTGAGCATGAACCTTGATGTTCTGAACCACTTTGGCACGGCTGCCTCAGAGGAGTCGACAGGGGAGAGGGCGGCCTCCAGAAACCATCTTATCACCATCAAACTGGTTGACCCACTATGTGGGACTGAGTTTGTTGTGGCGCCTCAGACTGATGAAGTCCTTTGGATGAAGGACGAAACATCTCAACAACAAAAAAAAGGAGAAGAAGAAAGGAAGCGTCCAGAGGACCTGACTGAACTTTGTTGTATCAGAGGAATGTTTCAAAGAGCACACGGTGGGAAGTTTGCAGTACTTGAAGTCGTTCCATGATGGTGTGCTTGTTGTTTTTTGCACATCAGCCTCTGACAGATGTGATGGACGAGTAACGCTGCGTGCCGTCGGCCTCGCCCTCTGCCTAATTCTGCTTCGCTTGATGAGAAGGAACAATCGGAGGTGAGTAATTCCTCGAGCAGCTGCTGGTCCTGGAGCTGAGGCTGTGATGTCTCATCCAGACGCTGTTCGTGCTGATGAAAGACGAGATTTATGTTGGATCTCTTCTGATTCGATGTGTCAGGAATTATTGAACGGCTCAGAGACGCCGCTGCTCTGATGAGCCACCGAAGTTTATTACAACTTTTTAACCTTTTAGATTTTAATTATTATTGCCTCTCTTTCATGGAGTGAGAGTCTGTGTGTGTGTTTGTCTTTTAGCAAAATATCTCACGAACCACTGGATGAACTTGGATGAAACTTAGCAGCTGACCTTTAGGTTTATCTGCAACTGATTAACTTCTGGAGGTAACTGAGTCAACATGGTGGTAGTTGAGAGTCGTCCTTAACATTTGTTTTAAGGGTTAACAAATTAAATAATATCTTTGTTTAAAACTTGCACTGCTGCAGCTGTAAGG